AAAACTTATCAAGATTATTAAGTTTAGTAGCAAAACATAAACTACCAAAAACTCTTAAGTGATCAAATATAGGTTTTTTCTTAAACACAAGTTCATAAGGAGATTGACCTTTCAAAACAGACGTTGGCATTCTATTAATCCAAAAAACTGAAGTAAGAACAGACTCTCCCCAATACTTTAAAGGAAGGCCAGACAGAAAAAGTAATGACCTAGCCACATTGAGAATATGTCTATGTTTTCTTTCAACAACACCATTTTGTTGTGGTGTATAAACACAAGAAGTTTGATGAATAACACCATGAAGTTCAAAAAAAAGATTTCATCTTATGATTTAAAAATTCAGTACCATTATCAGAACGAACTATTTTAACCTTAGTATCAAATTGATTTTGTAAAACATTAAAAAATAAAGAAAAACAGCTATAAACTTCATCCTTACTTTTTAAAAGATAAACCCAAGTAGCCCTTGTGAAATCATCCACAATAGTAAAAAAAACCTAAAGCCTTCTCTAGTTGACACTCTATAAGGACCCCAAACATCTAAATGAATCAACTCACCAAGTTTAGTTGAACTATGAACACTAAGAGGAAAGGACTCGCGAGTTTGTTTAGCCTTATGACATACCTCACAAGGAGGAAGAGAGGAATTATCAAAATTGAGTGTGTTTTTTAAAGAATTTAAAGCTTGTTCAGCAGGGTGTCCTAATCTACAATGCCATGTAAGTTTAGACACACAACATTTAGCAAAACAACTAGAACTAATACCTGAGAGAAAAGCATCAAGATAATACAATCCCCCAGACTCTCTACCATTCTCCACAACCTTCTTGGATTGTAAATCCTGAATTTTGCAACAGTTTTCATCAAAAACAACTTCACAGTTTGTGTCTTTGCACAGCTTGTGAACAGAAAGAAGATTTACACTGAAATTAGGAATAGCAAAAACATCAAACAAAGTTAATTTTTCAGAAAACTGTAAATTTCCAATTTTTTCAATTTTTGTAGAGGAACCATTTGGATGATTAACAAGAAGATTTAGTTTAGAAACATCAACAGTGTCTTGCAAAAGAGACTCAGATGAAGTCATATGTTGATTAGCACCTGAGTCAACAATCCACTTTTGATGACCAACCGTAGAGTAATAAGAGTGAAACAAAGGAATAGATGCCATATTAGCACTGAATGAAGTATCCTTAGAAGCGGATGAATTTTCACTAATAAGACTCAAAAGTTTATTGTACTACTCACTAGTAAATGAATAAGTTCCACTACTTCCAGAAGCAGAGGAACTACTAGAAGGAACAGAAGAAGAATTAACAGAAAAGGTTTTATTTTGATTTCTTTGATTATCATTATTAAGCTCATTTCTAGGTTTAAAGTCTTTTGGATAACCAATCAATTTATAACACCTATCAATAAGATGTCCCTTAAGTCCACAATTTTTACACTGTAAATTTTGATTTCTTCCTCTTCCTGAGTTAGAACCTTTTTTATCATTAAATCTACTATTAAATGCAGAAGACTGAGTTTTAGACACATTAGAAATAGAAGTTAAAGCCCCATTCTTCTGATGAGACTCCTCTCTAGAAACAATTGAGAAAGCAGTTTTAACATTTGGAAGAGGGTCCAACAGAAGAATATGACTTTTAACTTGATTAAAAGAATCATCAAGTCCATTTAAAAACTGCATTAATTTCATTAATTTTGAATGATCATTATACTGAGATGCAGCTTCACAAGTACATTCAGCTAGATTTGTAAGACCATCAAACTCTTTCCAAAGAGTGTCAAGTTTATTAAAATATTCAGACAAAGAAGAACCATCTTGTTTAAGTGAATTAATTCGCTGATGTATGTTGAAAAGAACAGATCCATCAGCCTTGTTATATGTTTCAAAAAGTTCATTCCATATATATACAGCAGACTCAGAATATGCATGACCAGAGTAAATTGACTCAGATAAAGACCCAAGAATCCAAGAACACACAACAGCATTGGCACGTTCCCATTTTGAAGATTTTAGTTCATCAGTAGAATCCTTTTTTACTGTTCCCTCTACAAAACCTAATTTGTTCCTAGCCTTAAGACTTCTAACCATAGAACTACGCCACACACGAAAGTTATCGGTCCCAGTTAGTTTAAAACTTACAATTGTAGTTACAGTATTGTCAGAAGGATGTATATACAGAGGGTCATCGTAGTTCACAGGATCAACCTTAGAACCACTACCCTCAGGAGGTGAATCAGACATAATGTTCACACAGAATCAGCCAAATAGAAAACAAAACAGACCACAATGATCCTTAAATGTCCAGATGGTCACCACAGTATGTTGGGGCCCAAGACAAGGATCACTGGATCAAAAAACAATCACAGAAGACAACAAATAAGTTGAAACAATAACTGGTGTACTCAAGACAACCAAGTTCTCCCACGTCTACAGCTAGAACAAGATAGAAGGGAACAAGAAACTCTCACAGCGATAAGCAGAACAAGGATGAACTAGATCGACTCCCGTAACTCCGTTCTCTTTTTTACAAATTAACGGTGATGAAATCCGTTAATAAGAGTTATTTCAGAGTACAGGATTAATCGATCAAGAACACTGAAGACAGTCTTCAAGGATCTCCACTTGAAGACAATCCTGAAACAAATCACAAGAAACTCGCAGTACCAGATTCTTAAAATAAAAACCACCTGGATGAAGATCCAGATTAACCAAAAAGAACCCTAGATGTTCACTAACGGGTCTAATAGACTGAGATTTCAACAGAAACTCAGTACGAACCCAGCGATTAAAAAAACAAGGATCTAACCAAGAGACAAAGGAAAAGAGAGAATACCTCTGTAACAAGAACGACGATCCACCACAAATTTAAGCCCTAAAGCTCTGATACCATGTGAAAAAACGTAGAAACACAATTTCCCAACATCATCATCTATTATATCATTGAAGGACAAATAGACAGATGGTTTTAACGTACTTACAGTGTAAACCTCACTACACAAAACCTAAACTACTCTCTTGATTTACACTCAGCCTAAACTACAGCGATTAAGAAGAAAAGAAATTATTCAGAGTACACAAACCCTAATCGTAATACGCTTGAGAGAAAACGTAGAGAACACACACAAAATATCTGAGTGAATTAATACAAATAACCCTTCAGCTTAACCTTTATACTTCGGGTAAAGAACTCTCACAACCCGCGTGCAAACCCGTCTGACGACCCGACATAATTAGCCTCCAATTACAAGCAAGTCCACAACTTCAAGTAAATAACACAACTAGTCCAAAAGCTCAACACATAACAAACAAAACTAATCCATATAACTTTCACTTAGCACCCTGCACTTTTCCTGAAATGCAAGTTTGTAATAATAACAATATCCACAACATTTAACAGATGTTATGATACTCCACATGAGACATATGTTGGCTCAGCCCATCTATAGGGATAGCTAGAGCTTTAGTTGATTAAGAAAAGGGTGAGGAGGTCTCAAATTCAAATCCATCTCCCCTCTTTTTTCTAGCATTTATATTATTTGAAGACAAATTACAAAAATGGTCCATGTGGTTTACCAAATGATACAAATTCAGTCTATTTTTACTTGAAAAAATGAAAATGCTCTTACAAATTCAGTCCCTAACGGTTTAATATTACCGGAGTTAATAAAAATGATCATTTGTGCAAGTTTTGCAAACCACAAAGACCGTTTACATAAAAAAAAAATAACACTTTATTACTTTTCGCAAACCACAAAGAGAACATTTTTGTAATTTTGTCTTGGGATATATACACTAAAGTCCCAATATTTTCATCAATTTGACAAAAAAGTCCTAAACTTTATTTTTTTTTATAGTAAAGTCCAAATTACCGGCAATTTTTGACACTTTCACCATTTTTTCCCGGTTAGCCGGTAATTAGGATTTTTTTTGTCAAAAAAAATAAAGTTTAGGACTTTCTTGTCAAATCGTCAATTAGGACTTTATTGTCAAAAAAATAAAGTCTAGGACTTTCTTGTCAAATCGTTGAAAATAATAGGACTTTAGTGTATATCTCCTTTTTTTTGTTAGAAATTTAATGGTATGATACTCTTTAAGCATAAGAGTTATTAAAACCTTCTCTAATCAGCTAGATCCTATTGAAATCCTTAACATTTGCTTCTTGTTAAATCGTTTTTTTAATCTCAACAAACAAACATTGAAAAAATGGAGATAATCAAAAAGAAAGAAAGAACCAGGGTTGTGTTGGCTTTTTGTTGTCCCAAAAATGGAGAAATAAGAAACCGAACCCTGGTTCTTTCTTTTTTTCTTTCTTGATTATCTCAATTTTTTTCAATGTCGGTTTGTTGAGATTAAAAAAACGATTTAACAAGAAGCAAACGTTAAGGATTTCAATAGGATCTAGCTGATTAGAGAAGGTTTTAATAACTCTTATGCTTAAAGAGTATTATACCATTAAATTTCTAACAAAAAAAATTTATATATACACTAAAGTCCCAATATTTTTAACGATTTGACAAGAAAGTCCTAAACTTTATTTTTTTGACAGTAAAGTTCTAATTGACGATTTGACAAGAAAGTCCTAAACTTTATTTTTTTTTGACAAAAAGTCCTAATTACCGGCTAACCGGGAAAAAAGGGTAAAAGTATCAAAAACTGCCGGCAATTTGGACTTTACTGTAAACAAAAATAAAGTTTAAGACTTTCTTATCAAATCGATGAAAATATTGGGACTGTATATATATCCTTTTTGTCTTTGTGTAATTTTGTCTCATATATATGTGTATGGTACATTAACACTTTGCATACATCTTTTAATTAATCTTTTTACGAGTAAAAGTCACCACGTCTATTAACTCAAACCAATGAAGGTTTTTATATGTCTATTAAATAAAGACTTTACAGGGTCAAAGTCAACCCTCAATAAGTTCAAACTTCAAACACACCAGTCTTGGTAACTTCAAAGTTCAAACTAGCTACGAGATCTTCATCAATGGAGGACAGAAATGCTAACATAATCGCCGGTATATCTATCATCAATCTCATTGTATTCATCATAATTGCCAGAATCATTCTCAAACTCACCGAACCGTTTTTCTTGATACTCGGAGCCTGTGTCGCTGCTATCCTCGCCATCATCGTTTTCTACTTCATCAGGCGCCGTTTTCAAAGCAGGAGGCGGAATCTGGAGACTATAATTGCTTCCGAAGGTAAAGAGCTGCGAATCGAGTATAGTTTTCTCCGGAAGGTAGCCGGACTTCCGACGAAATTCCGGTCAAAGGAGCTTGAAGAAGCCACCGACAACTGGAAGTCGATGATCGGACAAGGAGCTTCGGGATCTGTTTTCAAAGGAAGCTTAAAGGATGGTACGGCTGTTGCGGTGAAGAGGATCCAACATGGAGAGGAAAGAGGGGGAAATGAATTCAGATCTGAAATTTCCGCCATAGCTAGCGTACAACACGTAAACCTTGTACGCCTCTTTGGGTACTGCATTCAGAGTAACAATCTCCATTTTCTCGTATACGATTTCATTCCAAATGGCGCCTTATCGAACTGGATATTCCCACGCCCTTCCTCCGCCGTGATTAACAACAATTGTGGCGGATGCTTGTCGTGGCAGCAGCGACTGAAAGTCGCAACCGACGTAGCAAAAGCCCTATCCTACCTACATCACGATTGCCGGTCGAAAGTCCTCCACCTCGACGTCAAGCCGGAGAACATCCTCCTTGACAAAAACTACAACGCGATCGTCTCCGACTTCGGAATATCAAAGCTCATGAATCCAGACGACAGTAGAGTCGTAGCATCAATGAGAGGTACAAGAGGTTACATAGCTCCGGAATGGTTGCTCGGCCTAGGAATCTCGGAGAAATCAGACGTGTTCAGCTACGGTATAGTTTTACTAGAGCTCATCGGCGGGAGGAGGAGCGTGAGGTCGATTGACGTCGTCGACGGTAACGGATCAAAGAGGAAGTTTGAGTATTTTCCGAAGATCGTAACGGAGAAATTAAAAGCCGGAAAGATCATGGAGGTGGTGGATCAACGGTTGTTAGATCTCGGCGACATTGATGAAAACGAAGTAAGAAAAATGGTGCACGTAGCGTTATGGTGCATACAACACAAGGCGAGACGGAGGCCGAGCATGGTGCAAGTGGTGAAATGGTTGGAAGGGCTGGCGGCGGTGGAGCAGCCACCGGAGACTACGATGATGGTGGTTGACCTACTTGCTATAGGGAACGATGAACATGGTGAGGAAGGGGGATGGCAGAATCGTAATAAAAGAAGAAAGCCAGGGGTTGTTGCTAGAGTAGCTTCACAAATAACTGGCTGCCTGCCCTTGGCACCAAATTCAACAACGTCGGCTTACAGGTCAAAATCGTTCACCTATACAATGTCTATAATTACTCCTAGATAGATATATTTTATTATTTTATTTCATTTTGAGTAAAAGTAAAACCGGAACGTGTCGTTTTTGAGTAAAAGAAAACCCTTTCGGTTTTAGGTTTTCTGGGTTTTGATCATTGTTATATTATTTTTTTGGTGTAAAAACTGAAAAACTAGTATAACAACAGCTCAATTATAGTGTATATGTAAAGTAATACTACAAAGAAAAGATAACGGGTTTCGTGTTGCTAGTTTTCTGGGTTTTATGGTTGAAACATTCTTATCGAAAATTTCTGATTATATTTTGGAAATAACTGAAAAAATATAAGTTTTTTTTTTTTTTTTTTTTTTTTTTTTTTTTTTTTGTATAAGAAATGGAGGAATCGACAACTCATACCGTTTAGCTATAATAGGTTTTATTTACGTGTAATTTAACTGAATTTTATTGTATTGTGATGTTTGGCTTTTGAGATACATATACCATAACCATACATATATAAAACTCCCAACATGCAAAAAACCTTCATAACGTCATACAAACGCGCTCCTACATAATGTTGTCATTTCATTCATTGTTTTCACAAGCCTCCACATATATACAAAGACTTTAATTTGGAAAAGTTTAAAATCAATCTCAAATCAAAAATTCACAAAAGAGCTGCTTCTTTATGTTGTAATATTAGTCTTTATATAAAATATAAAGACTAATGTTTAAAATCTCATAAAAACTCTAACAAATAGTTGAAATAACTTTTGGATTAGTTTTTTTTATAATAAAATTTGTATGGATACTGAATTATGAGGCTAACAAACCTTTGGTTTTTTAAAGATTTTAACATTTTTTGTACACGATTACAAATAATCTTACAAATATTTTCAAAAAAATGTCATTGTCACTAATATTTTGTAGGTAGGGTTACCACTTGATATGGCACATCGTGTAGTTGCTGACTTTAATTTTTGGTTGATGTGAACAGCCACATCAACACTTCAATGTAAAAAGAGAGGAAACATATGTCATCTTTTAAAGAATTAACCACATTTCTTGCATCAAGCTTTATTTAGACCACTCGACATTAAACATAAACAACATTGTTGCCAAAGCGATGAGTTTTTTTTGCAAGTTTGATCGTAACCATTAAATTGTTTGACAAAGCTTCAACACCGAAAGAAGATTGTGGTTCATCTCATTCATATGTTATATTTGCAAAGAGAAGTAAAAAAGGTAGGGAGTAGTGAGTGAGATGTTAGAGAGCGTTTTTCAATGGTGTGATAAAACTAACATAGACAATACTTATTTATACTAGGAAATGAGGGGAAAAGTTGTCATTTATGCCAAAAAAACCTCCACTTGATTACTTCTTGGAACAAAATAAAAATGTATTTAAGGGCTAGTTCTTGTGAACCGAATCCCAAACCAATTTCTATCAAACCGCACCCAACGACCATAAACTAAAACAGGTACTAACCATTAGTTCTGCTCTAAATCGGATAGACTTGTGCCGATCGGACTATGAATTTCAAAATCCATTTTATTTTTCTAACGACATAATTATATTAAAAAAGAGCTAGCAAGGCCAAGAGACAACCAACCAAACATCCAAAACAACAGAACACAAAATGACTAGAAAACTACATCATAGACAAAATAGGATTTTGAAGTCAACCAATTCAATTTAAACCCTTTTTAGACCTAGTAGAAAACCAATGAAAAGACTTAACCACTATATCATTATTATCATCACATAGATGGTTCTTCTTCAGCTTATCTTTATCGAACAAAGCCTTGTTCTGAAACATCCAAATATGACACTACATGACAAAAAACACTCCTTCTAGAATCTTATTTCATGGATTCCTAAGATGAAGACCATCAAACCAAGACCTCCAATATTAAAAAAAAAAAAAGAGAGAGAGAGAGAGTGTTAAAGGCACATATATCCCCATCATCGCATGATATTTCCCAATAACAAAGAAGCAAGTTGGCAGGAAAAAAAAGGATGATTTACAGACTCCACCACATCCCTACAAACCACATAATTCAACGAAGGAATCTCCATACCCCTCCTCGAAATATTTGATCTGGTAGGGAGCTAATCAAGCATCAACTTCCAAGCAAACGTATTAACCTTGATGACGACCAATTTAACCTGTCTAGTCTATAACGAACTAGACTCAAGCAAAATCGAATCAATATAAGGCGAGTAGAGGAAATCAAGAAGACATCAGAATGATTTAAATTCCATACCCAACTAACGGAAAAGAAGACAAGGAAACCACTTGAAGCAAAGAACGGAGAAGTTCAGTTTGCACACTCTCGGCACAAACCCAAATGAGGTCTACGAAAAGACCAAAACCAAGAAGGATGACTCATTTTTCAACGGGTAATTCTAAAGACACGAATAAATATTTATATGCACGAATAATTATTGCAAAGCAGTCTTCCATCAATCAAATCTCATGTATATAAATCCCGAATATAATGGTATTTTAATTTTCAAATGTTGTCCTCATGCTTTTATTTATCTTTCAAAATTTACTTTTTATTTTTCAAAATTTTATTTTAAACCTTTTACTTAATATGTTCCAATTATGTTTTTAAATTTTGTCCTCATACTTTTATTTATCTTTCAAAATTTACATTTTAAGGAATTGCATAAAAACATAATCAAATCAAATTTTGTCCTCATACTTTTGTTTTACAAGGAAACCGAGTCAATAATCTTATATATTTAATTATATGTAAACAATAAATTTAATATAGATTTACATGATTTGTTAAAATTATTTTTTTTATGTAATTATTGTTAACCGATAATCTCATGATTGTTCCTGTTGATGGCAATAAGGTTCACCGCGGCCAATAACCAAACCAAACCGTCCAATACGCATCCCTATTATATATATATATATATATATTATATATATATATATATATATATATATATATATATATATATATATATATATATATTAGAAACATCAGAATCGCACATATATAAGTTTGCTAAATTAAAAAAAAACAATTTTTTTTATTTATAGAGATCTTAATAATTATAAACAACAAAACATAAACTTGATTTTATTAATTATCAGATATTATAACTGTAGAATTGTTACAATTACTGTGTGTTGCAAATGGAGAAATGTAGGAATTCAGGCGAGCAGCATAAACAGTTTCCCATCCAGCAGACCGTAATGATCTGTTGTGACGCCAAAGTGGCAAAATAGTAGGCATTGGATATGCTCCATGTAAATCAACCTTCACATAATGATCACCTCTAACAAGAGCAATAACAACAACTCTATGAGTTGAGATGTCTTGGGGACCAAGCCATAGTGGAAAACATGTTGATGGACTATCTTTGCTTAGAAAAATAACTATTACACTATACTTGTTAGCAATGAGAAAGCTAGTGACCGGCATAATCAACCAACGATCTTTTGGTGCGAAACGTGATCCATTGAAATTCAATGAGTGATGTATGGTGTTTAAATCGTAATAAAAAATTTGTGCGTACTCAGCTGGGTGTGCTAACAACTCATTTTGTAAATCTAAGTGGATTTGACGCCAATTATCTTCACTATAACCGAGACACGCAGCTATTGCACGAAATCCACAATTTCCATCTCCCCTCACGTTTTGTATGTTTGTGACATATGGATGAAATTCATACGGAATTTCATTCATAAGTGGATCTGAATTATACATTACTTGTTCTTGGTTGAAGTACGAGTTATGCATCGATTGTTCCTGATTAAAAGTTGAGTTGAACATTGGAGGTTCTCGGAACGAGTACGTACTGTGCCTATCCGGTTCCTGGTTTAGATCAAACAAATTAGACCGCATATAATCAGGCGTATAAGTAGAAATCCTACGTCGAGATGGATATTGAGTTGGTGGCGCTTGAGTCGGTTGATCTTGAGGTGGTGGATCTTGAGTTGGTGGGTCCTGGTTTAAATCGATATGGCTTTTCTTGAAAAGTTTCTTCTTTAAGGAGGGGCGCCCGCGAGTATTTTTGTGAGTAGCAGGTTCAGAAACTGAAGTTGTTAACGGCGTGATTAAGTTTAGTAACTTCCTTGCTAAACTTAACTTAACAGGTCTTGATTGTTTTTCGTAATGAGCATTAAACATATTTACCTCAACTGCACAACCCAAATTGTCATCTTCTAACGATTTGCATTCTAATAAATCAAGTTTCTTCCAAAACTTATCGACTAAATGAAGCGGTACATAATGACATTTTTTAACAAATATAGCTTGTTCATGCGCACATGGCAGCCCATAACTTGTACGTACTTGACATCCACAATTTTCATAAACAAATCCAAATTCTTTGGACCGCTCATATTCTTTGAAAATGATATCAAGTGCATAAATTGAAACGAAACGACACAATGGTTTTAGATGTGGTATTTCGTAGTACCGATGTACAATAAAAATTTTTGTTATGCGCAAGACTCGCTTTTATACCTGTGTATTGTGACTCAACAACATCAGCAATACGCTTCAATGATTTGGCGATATCTGATCGCGATGTTTCGACATATCTTTTTAACTTGACATGTTGACTTTCAGCTCTATTAGTTGTGTGGTTGCCAAAGTTAAGAAACTTATCGGTCCATGCAGACACAAACTTTTCTTTGTGTGGTGTCAACCATTCATAAACTGGGGGTATATGTCACGAAGATGGGGCATTTTAATAAAGTTATAAATTAGTTTAATAATATGAATTTTGAAAATAATAAAATATATTATTTTCATTAAATATCCTTACATTTATATTTGATTTTCAAATCAAACCTTATATTCCGCCGCCTCAGCCGGAGGTGTAACAGTTGTAGGGCGTAAAAATAATTGACAAGTTACTAATACATTATAATAGAACCCTTATCAACATTTGACGATAATAATAGTTCATAAATCAGTTCGTACTCGGCGGGTTACTAAAAATGATTGTTATAAGTTGTGGTGTTTTATTGTTATAAGTTGTAGGGCGTAAAAATAATTGACAAGTTACTAAAAATTCTCTTTGGATGATACAAACTCCATATTAATGAAAATGAATGAAATTTTTTTCATCAATTTTAACCAAGCCTAACAGATAAAATAAGATTTGTGGTTGTGTTTTAACGACAGATTAATGTGTTTTGCTAATTATTAAGAACTCAAATTTATTATAAAAAATGACACTCTGTATTTGGAATTTTAACGAGATCTTAATGAGGAGTTAATTATTAAGAACATAAATATATATTTTTATATACATATTTCAAATCAATAATTAAGTATTAGAGTGTAATATAAAAATTAGAAAAATGGTATCTTTTAAAACTTACATCTATCTAAATTGAAGGGAGTAAAATAAAAAAAACATAAAGAAAATTGAAGTTCTTCATTCAGAATGACGGAAGATGATGGGATGAGGACTTTGTTGTTCCCAAAGCTCAATTACACGATTTTATTCGTGTATATAGGAGCACCCGATTTTAAAGGACATGTGTATCAAAATGTTCGTTTTCCTTGATTTTTAGTTTTATATCTTTTTTCCATTTCTTCTATTTTTCAAATTGCTTTTTTTTTTGTGATCGCTTTCCTTGCTACACGAATATTGAAAATGTACTTATAAACTTCTTTTTCTTTGGCCATTACATTTTTCTGTAACTCACCTTTCAGGCTTTAAGTTTATTATTTGAGGTAGAATGTCAGTCACGATTTTCGACCGGTCCATTGGTGGCGAAGAAGAGGATTACATTTTTGACAAGAAATAAAAAGTTTATGTTTTCAAATGTGTTAGCAAGTTTGTTATGGAATTGTTATATGTTTACACTCTTTATAAAGAGGTTTGATGTTGTAGTAGGTGGATATTAAGTGGATCTCAATAAATATCATTGTAATGTAATGTATTTAAGTCACAATAATTTATAAAAACAAAACTAAAAACTCATATAAATATATAAAGCAAACAACTTATATTTTTCTATAAATATTTTATTGCATTTGTTATATATACAAGCAATAATTGCAACTAAAAGAATAAATATTTAATTTTTAGTCGACAACAACTCACCAAAAATATTAGTTTTCAAAACACTTTCACATGATTTG